CAGATCCAAGGAAATATCAAAGAACTTTCAACAACTATCATATGGCTCAACAATCATTTACCCCAAGATATTTCAACATGTTCAAAGGAGACTTTACACACAAGTATGTCAAAGACATAGAATCAAATGTAAACAGTATTACTGTTAGGAAATCTGTCTGCGATAATCAACTTCCATATAACCATAGAGTGATTATAATAATTTCATCATTTCACAGCTTGAAGAGATCAGCTAATGTTTTATGGGTTTTTACATTAGAATGTTTGCAAGTGAAATCACTAATGAATCAATTCAAGCTGCAGAAAATTACAACATCACAGAAACAATAATGTAATATGTTAACATAAAATTTATGAGAATTTTAGCACTCTTTAGCTGTGGTACTGAAACATTTATTAAGAACCCAGCTGAACGGGAGACACCACATCAGTAATGCTTCACAAACCTGTGATAGCTTGCTTGATAATCAGAAGCATTAGGAAATACTTATATTACATAAGAGTAAACTAATGGAAAAGATTTACACATAACAAAGCTACAGACCCATATAAATGACATTGAGAATTGTGTGCAATCCACATACTGTCCTTCACTTCTAGACAAACTCTTATACTGTTAAATACAGACAAAGAATTAACCTGCACACAGAGGGACATCGCTTTCGATTGTATATGTGCAATACTCATCCGTCATCCTACAAAATACTCACAGAAAGAATTAAGTTATCATAGGAGAGGTAGTATCAGAGACCTATCTGAGGAAATGAAATGCAAGGTGAGCAAAGGGCTATAACTCTGTATATATCATAGTTGGGTGTCAAACTTGCTTCAGGTGTGTGACTCTGCCATCAAGTGGATGGCAAAGAAGTGTAAGAGATATGTTTAAGACATAAGTCACGTGGATTAATATATTGACTGAATGGACAGGTCAAAACTTAAAAACTGCTTATCAAAACTTGTCCAGTTGGTCACATTCTTGGACACTGTTGCATCAAGCCTCATAACAAAATACACACTGTAAAATTGTCGAGAGAATTTGTTTTAGAATTTAGTTCATTTCTGTTTTTATCTGAGATTGCAAAGTATGTTTGTTCTACGATAAATCATCTTTAAAGCTTCGATAATTTTGGAAATGTTCAGGATACCATGTTCACTTTATTATACTAATAGAACTGGATTGGTCCTACTCCATACAGTTGCGTCTTTTTCGCATTTGGTCTCAACCGTTTAAAGCACAGCCGGTTAAATACCAAAGGTCAAATTTTCAATCAATATTAGCAGGAGCTTTATACATACAGTACCCAAAATAAGTCCTCAGAGACCAGATTAGACCAATACATCAGGAAAGCAAGGTTGTCTTGTGTCCAGGTTCACATTCAAAGATCGCACTATGATCTGCAGACTGTTAATGTCTTCCCTAGAACTGTATAGCTGTCTTAAGACAATTACAAAACCATAAAATTGCCATACAGAAGGTATAAGCCCTGAGCAGGGAGTTATATCTGATATCAGGTAAGGGAGGAGGGAATTTATTGGTTTATAATTTGATCAATTAGGACAGGAACTAACACAAGTCTAGTATTGGAGGAAAAGATTTTAACGTAAAACAAATGTATAAAACCTACATGTAATAACAAATTCAGTGAGTTGAATTTGTTAGATTACATGCATGCTGTGCCATAATTTGAGGAATAATTTGAGTAGCGAGAATAGTGATAATTATATCATCTGCAAGTCCAATTCCTGTCTTTTTTTCAGCCAATCAAAATATCATAAATATTCTAGCTCGACTATAATTACTAATAGTGTGTCTACATCTATAAAATTAGAAAATGTCAATAGAATGCTGTCCATGACCTATGGAACACTAATTGTTCATCACCCCATGAACAGCCAGGGTAATTTTGGCCCAGGATCTCAAAGTAGTGACTGGTTGTTACCTCATGGAATATCATAGGGGAGTTCCACCACATGCCATTGATAATAATTAAGGAAAAGTGGTTTACCCCATGTAAAATCATAGGGAAGTCCCGTTGCATGCCGTTGATAACAATAAATGTAAAAAGAACACAACTATGTAAGCACCAACTGGTCCATCCATTCTTCTATCTTACTAGGTTGGTAAGACAAATGCATGGCAAATTAATTAGTAACCAAATGCTACAGAAGGAGGAAAAATTCCAATACCTGCACCGTTACCCACACTTTTAACAGGATAGCCAGCATTGTTATGTGTAATTGGATTCAATTTTCCGGTTATCATCATATTTCCTTAGAGCTGGTGAAACTCAGTCCTTAAACAAGACACCATTTTATCAGGAAAAGAGAACTAGACTTGAGACCTACTCGCTGACTGTATTCCCTTTCATATCCATCAACAAAGCTATCCCCTGAAGAACCGGGGAAATTGGAACATATAGATCATCATTATAATGACAATTACAATATTGAGGATATCCAATCCTAAGACTGATGGGTTTATGACCTGACCAATATTTTGTCATCAACAATCAGTCAGTAATATAACTATATCAACTTCTCTGGGGACAAAAGGTCTCAGAACTTATATCTGATGGAGACTTATTCCACTACTCTGTAGCCTCCCTGTTTTTATATAACACAGGGTGTCAGTAACCGTACCACAGAAACTAATAATTTACTGCAGCTAGACTGGAAATAAGACATGCTTACAGATACTTCATTCTAACCACTAAAATCAACATTTGCAGACAAGAATTTAATATTTTACAACAAATGGCCTTCTTCCTCAGTAACTCTGAAATCTGGTCTAATGAACAACTTTCTTACCAAGTATATAGATCCAGATTTTTTAGGAGCTCCATCTAATATGGTCAGCTCTTCACATCTTACAGATAACAGCATTTCTTAGGATGTATAAAACAATGCTCTAAATAAACTTCATAGTGTATATAGAATTTTACAATATGGTTCCCCATAGCAAATTCAGAAAGCTGGACAGTACACAAATGTCTGATGCTTTTAATTTTCTTAATTATATTCTGTTAAATGGAAAATACTCTAAGAAGTGTGTCTCATTTTCACTGAAGTTTCATAAAAATCACATTCAAACCTGAGTGACAGTTAGCCTGAAAGCTATCTATACTGATCCTGTCTATTCCTGGCATTAGGACATACCAAGGGGGAAATCTGGAAGTTGTATTTCACCAGACACCTCTTACTTATAAACCTACCAGACGAACTTGGCCTGTGTTCAAAAACCCTATGTCATATCTTGCATAACTTTCCCAGCAAACACCCCTCCACCAGTACAGAGTACCCTGGCTCAACACGCAGGCATGTCACTTTGTCTTGTGCTTAAACAATTAGACACTCCAACAGCCCTGATTTTGTGTACCTAACCGGAGATAATCACAGACAAGAGTTCTACCATAATGACTGCTCTCTGAAGTGTCTACCTGGTATCAGTGATTACTTGGTAAAGCCTAGCCTACATTCACAATTTCATTGTAACCACGGCTTTAAGGTTTTAGTTGTTGTAACAGCTACACAGGCCTTAGTTTATACAAGTCACCGGTGTACAATTTTGTTCCTGGTTTTCTTTCCAACAGTTTTTTTTATATTTCATTATAAAGGCATGTTTACTTTTGCCAAAGTAATTTACTTTCCTCTGCGTTACCTAGCTTAAAAATGACTTTAAAAATGTTAACACTTTAAAACTAAGAGAATGTAGTGTTCAGGAAGCTGCATTTAACTTTTTTGTTTACAATTTGATTATACAACCTTCCTAAATAACTAGCTGCAATACACTGCTCGTTAGTTTCATCTGTTGAATACAACCTGAGGTATCAAGAGATCCAAAGTTCAATTCCAAGCGAAAACACTGCTATAAATAATGGTGCCCATGTAAGGACTCGAGAATACTTTCACAAACATCACTGTAACCTCTAGAAACCTGAGGAAATAATTACCTCTACAACTCATTTATCTTTTGCATACAGAAGAAATGAGCTCATTTCATTTCTGACAGCTGACAACTTAACAAAGCTTTAGAGTAATGCGAAAATTGGAATGCGATCAAACACTGAATTAATTAAAAACTCATTTGTGACAATAATTTGACAAAAAAAAAACTCTTCTTCAAAATTTAGCTTGGTTATTTTTAGATGAAATAAACAGAGACCTAAGGATTCATACAACTACCCTGTTAAGTCCAAACCCTTCATTCCGGTATTTTATATCGTGACTCCTTCCTGTCCGAGACAGCTCAGTCAGTTAGAACTTTGGCCAACATAACCACAGATGAAGATCCAAGTTACGTGGTTCAGTGTTCCCTAACCGTGGCTGCTGGTGTTTTATCAGGAAGTTGAGAAACAGACCGATTTGTGCTGATATGGTTGTTGTCCTTGGACAAGACACTTTAACCTCAATGCTCTTGACAGCATGCAATGAGCCTTCCATATGTTGTTCTATGAGTTAGCCAACAAATACAAAGGGACTCGAATCTCGAAATGATCCGGGCTAGTCAAGGAATGACAAACTCGGCACAACAAAAATAACCACTACCCTCTTCTTTATTCAGAAGTAGTTGTTCAAAGCATTAGCACATCTGACCCAAGTAACCTTGAACATATGTTAAAGGTTGTTCATTTGAAACAGAAATACACAGCCCTGCAATCTTAACATGCTACTGATCAAATATCATGTTTATTCAGCACATGTATAAAGATTTTGACTATTTTTCAGCTGCTATGACTTGGAAGGTGGATCCATGCCATCTATTGAACTCCATTTGACATTACACCTTACGGTTATTCACACAAGACAGACAAAGCACCAGGCCAAAAAACTGATAATTGCCATATATGCAGGTGTCTGGTAACAAAATATCAGATACATATTTGTTCCTAGTGAAGATGATATTTAATGTGCGTCTTAAATCCTGAGAATTATCATTCTCATTCTCTCCATGCACACAAGCACTACATGTATATATATTGGCCGTAAAAATGATTGGCCTACCTCAGCATTCTTGAGGGACTTGATCAGTATCTGTACGGTTTCTTCATAAGATCTGCCCGTCATCCGTCCCAACTTCTCATACATGGCTCCTAAACATGCAATGGCAGCACTGTGGATAACAAAATTGTGAAAAATTATCATCTTTACAAAACCTTTTTTCACAGACAAAACAACATTTACCAAAGAGCCATTATTTGGATTCCTAATCAATGACATGCTAAAAAGCTATCAGGCGATACAATGTAGCCCACTTCTGGGTAATAAATGATTCGGTAGCTGTTGAAGACATTGCCCAGTGCCTGAAGTCGTATCAATATATCATCCCTAACTTTCCATTACATCTCATTCATTTGAATTATCTAGTCAGCATGAAAACTTTGATGAAAGTAAGCAGGAATTTAAAAAGGTACTGGACTGTTTTCTACACAACTTTCTCAGCTAAGAATGATATATCCTTCACATAGAATTCCTCTGAAGTATCAGATTACCCATACTTCTCTCCTAATTTCATATATTTTGACAAAAACAACCCATGATTTGCACTTTAACAAGCATTAGATTTTGTCACTAGGTATTAAATTATTGGTCATGGAACTTGAATTTTTGTAATTTATACTGATGCAGCAATGTTACAAGACTTTACTAAAATCTTGGGACGTGAAGTTTTGTGATTCCTGACCATTATTATCTAGACTGTTACACACGTAACATTTGCGTGTTCTGTTATGCCCTATTTCCAGAATTTGTATCTACATCTTTCACTAAGACCTTTTGGTCGAATTACACACATCTGTTCTAGAGGGCTAAGTAGTCAAGGAGTCTCCATCAACTAAATGTGCACTAGGTGTCCTTGACATGCAGGCAGAAAATGCATGCCTTACAAGCATGTTGGAGACTTGTTACTGTCATAGAATTGGTAGACACAAGTATGGACCAAAACAAAAAAAATCTATCACTAGCAGGTTTGTTGAGTTTCTCAGAAAGGGGCGACACTTGAATTTCTTAGATGAAATTTGAATACTCATTCAAGAAACCAGAATACCTAAGTTTAGATTTCAGTTAATTTGACATGGTCGAATCTTTCAGACGCTGGCACTGGGCCATTCTGACTTGTACATTAACAGTAGTAAATATAGGTAATTAATTCATCTAGACAAGCCTCAGTGTTCTGATTGGTCCCAAAGTGATCAAATGAAATAAGTAAAAACAATTTTACATCCTTTGAGTTATAATTTGATACCTTTGAAAGTATGTTAGAGATCATGCCCATATAGACTGCATATTGTGATGTCTGTGGTTGTTTGTACCTGTAATCTGTGGTGCTGCCTTTGCTTGCTTAGAGAAACAGCATGTACATTCAAAATTTTTCTATCTTTTTTTGAAATTGAACTGTAAATTCATCCCAAATTTTCAACTTTTTTTGGGGTGATCACCTCCAGTCATTAAATTTTATAGTAGCATTATGTAGCTAGATGTTTGTGAGTCTGGCAGTGCAGGCTTTATCTTTGCTTGAATTTTAAGACCCCTGGTAACAAGCACAAAAATACTTTTATATCCTAATAAAATCAATATAAACATGTAAATCCAACAACCACCTGCCCACTAAAACAAATTAAATACTGATCTTAAAAGTACAAGCTGTATTTTTCTTTACTCCATTCACTTCTAACAATGTTATTTTATTTTTAAAGAAAGTCTTTCAGTACTGATTTATTATAAACTAATAATATTTTTAGTACAGTAAGCTTACTGAATCAACCTTAAGATATTTGTGGAGTTTCTAATCCTGTACAGATAAAATTTTGCACTGACTAGCCATCATGCACCTGTCTGATGCTCACAGCATTTTGCGTATGCAATATTTCAGGTATGCATTTTTTTTTTATAATTGACGAATACACTATCGACTAGAAATCCTGGAGAGCAGGGTAGTGTTATGGGTCTGAGATATGGACTGGAAGACTGGGCTGTTCTGTTAGCAACTCAATCAAAAGATGTTTGAGCCTGTTATCAACTGATGAAAAACTTGTGAATGGATCCTCTAAGTGTTTACAATGAGTCTCATGGAATAGAAATCAAATGCTGGTTCCCCGAGTTAAAAGTAGCTTCAATTAACACTCCAAGACCTTTTATGATGTAATTAGAAGGGTGCTGTTTAAAAATGTCATTTTAAAGAACTTAAACAGACATAAAAATGTATAATCCATGAGACTGACTTACACAGCTTTTAATTCCAGAAAGATTTTTGTGACAGACAGGTAACAATGACCGCATAATTAGACACCAATATTCCATTAGAATTAGGCAGAGATGCACAGGTCTGACTAGATCTTTCCTAGTGCCTTTTATAGAAAGGAAAAATGAAGGTAGAATGTTTGAAACATTGGGTTAACATGCCTGGTCTACCCAGACATACACCAACATCTCACCTGATTTTATGTATGATGGTTGTGAAATTCTGGACAGATTGAACAGCAATTTAAGATGATTTCCAGTATATGCCTATAGCCATCCATAATGGTCACCTAGAATATGCTTACATCAAAAAGCCATCCATATCAGAACTTATTGTAAATATTTATACCTCTACACTGTAAACACCTTGGAGTATGTAAAGGCTGAACATGTTTTTTCAGGATAAAAGATATACAAACAAAAGGTCAATTATAAAATCTAGAGCAGAGTCTTATCATACGGTGGATGTTCTATGAAGTACATAATTTTGTGTATGATGCGTTTTGCTGGAGACTTACAGACGTGTTGGAAGGTAGCTCGGCGAATCATCTTTATTTTTGATGATGTCGTTACATTTGTTTATGGTGTTAAAAAGTTCGAAGGTATCGCCCACACTGAACAGTACAGCAAGGTTCCGTGCCAGTAGTTTCCGACTTGGCGGCCCAGGAGATTCACTGATCTGATTGGTCAACTGTTCCACTAATTTTTTCTGTTTCTCTTTAATGTCAGACTGAAAAAAATAATGAAAAAGAAATACCTATAATTTGGACGCCACAAAACATAAGTGTGGGGCAGCAATTGGCCCGTGCTGTGTACATTACAAGTAATTATTGGCAGTGAGGTAATTTCCTGTGGGCATCCAGCAAGGAATGCCTGCACACAGCATTAACGTCACAAACAGCCTCCAGCCATTATTCACATGACCCAGTTATCTTGATAAAGATTATACACGGGAGATCTGAACAGATACAAATAGACCTACACCTATTGAAGTACCCCTGCTGCTACCTTTATATCATTATAACAGGTGCATTCTTACTTCACTCCTGGACTGCGGTAGGACTGGTCTATATAAAATATCAGCCATCAAATAACATCAACAACCACTGCTGAATAAATACGAGTTGAAATATCATTAGATCAAATCTACACTTATTTCTAGTGTTGACCCTTACTGACTTAATTCCTCATAAGAGTATTAATTCTAATAAACGTCCTGGGGCATGACATTCCTAAAAGAGAGGGATGCCCATGCGACAGTCTGGTGCATTTGAGCTCACATTATACACTTTTGTAAATGAAAATTGTATTCATTTTGAGAAAGTCTTGAGGATTATTTTGTTTTTTGGTATTTCAAATTTGTATATTTTGGAAATCAAATACACATGCCTAGAAATTTATTTTACCATTCAGTAAATCATACAAGGGAGAAACTAAAATTGGATAAGAGAGGGGACATTTAATAGAACAAATACGGTAAGTTTTTCTTCTTTGTCTTGATAGAATGAATTGTATCGCAGGAAATGAAAAATGACAATAAAATGGTTAAACGTCAGCTAGTACTAAAGAATGGCATAACTGTGAAATCTAAAAAGTCCTGAATTGTAAAATAAATTGAGTCTAAGATAGAATTACCTCTTTTCTTCATTCTGTATACAGATTATGTGATGGTGTACTTTACACAGGATTTTTTAAAGTTATTTTTCACAACTTGGACTGTATTTACCGAATGAATAGAAAAAAGTCCAGATTTGGAAGCTCAAAATAAACTTAAAACTATGCAAAGTTGTGCTTTCCATAAAAACCTGAAATAACGAAAGCAGAGTCAGAGTCACACCAGTTGATTCATATTCTGTGTTGAAATTGAATCAATTGTCAATAATTGCCAGGAAATTACATTTTGACCTTTATTATCATCACTTTATGCTGCAATCAATAAACATTATATATATATGTAATGAAACATTTCCTAATCAACCCAACAGCAATCATACAAGTAGACGGAAGGAAGTCCTAATTGGACCTTTGCAAATCATAAATCACTCTATACTTTATCCTGGTTTCAACAGAAACCTTGAACCAAGCTCCATTAGCTTGAAAATACTGAGCTTTTCTTTTTTTTCTGAAGTGTACTCCAGAACAAAAATATTAATTTTACATGATTTTTTGACATTCTAAATGGTAAATCTAAGAATTAAAAGTCGTATATATCAGTTTAAAATGATCATCGAAATATTATTTTTACATTTTTTTTAATGTGTTAGCTATTTATTGCTTTTAACTAAGCTTAAAGTAAAAATTATCCAGTTAACTCTAATTAACAAACACTAAATCCTCATTCATACTATAAGCATCCACATAATGGTCAATTTACAACAAGTATCAATGACCTCTATAGATTGTCAATGTTATATATTAAGGTTCAGCTTAGCCTTAATCATCTCTGCTATATATATATCACTGTGGTGATGGACTTTGTTACCTAGTTGACTAGATGAATCAATTATAAAGTAGGTATTAGCTTAATGGTGTGGTGGGAAAATCCTCTGGATTATGAAGTGTCAAGTGAATTTTCTGCCAATCTAGAACAGAAGAGTATTACTATGCAGTATCAGTTTCCCAACCATACCCAACCATAGCTGGCTTGGTTTTCTCACAGCTTGCCTGATACTTCAAGACAGATCTGTCATAAAGAGTCTCCAAGGAGACCTAACAGCTATCTGGCTGCTGCATTCAGAGAGAATTATTGACTTTTTATTACTATCTATGAATCATTCCAAAGCATTCTTCAAAGACGGCTGCAGGAGCAATATTCAAAGAAATGTCACAGTACTTGTCATTTTGCTTTGTTTTTTTTTTTCCCCAGAAAAAGTTTACATCATTTTAATGACGGCTCTGACAAAGCATCAATTGCAATAATTTACTAGTACAAAATCTGTACTTGCTGATTGCTGTTTAAAACTGTTCAATTGAGAAAAACTGAACCTTTAAAGTCTCTTACAAATACAATGGTCTTCATTTGTTCAAAATAGCAACATCTATGTTTCTGAAGGGAACACAACATGACAGGAAATAAGTTGTGGACCAAATATTTCCGTTGGCACAGATTGTGACCTGAATCAGACAAGAGTCTAGTTTAGAAAGATTGTAGTATAAAGCAGACATACATTTTTGTGATTGCTAACTTCTGTCATTGTATACTGCCATGAAAAAGTATACTCAGTAACAAACCATGTCAATGCCATTTCTAAACCAACTGTTCCCACCACTTGGCATTTCATTACAACAAATGTCAATTTCATTTTACTTTCATCTCCCAAAAACAAATTAAAGTCAGAAGTTTTTGTTTGTTTTTTTTTAAATTGGCTGATGAAACACTCTCCACACAGCCATAATACTTACTTTTTGTGCAGCTATAAGAACTTTATCCAGAAAACGGAGCCATTCAAAGACAAACACTGGTCGTTTGTTCTCCGGAATTTTCTTTAATGCCTCCTCGTTGAGGAGAAGGCTGTGTGCCAGCTCCATCATTGAATGTTCACTACTGTCCTCTGGATCTGAAACAGAAAATAAAACCATGGAAATCCATTGTTTTAATAGTAAATGATGACCGAATCATTTCCATGTCAATCGTGACATCATAGACCACGAGTTTAACACTTTCACTTTCAGTTTGTATTCATGCAAAACAGTGAAATGACATATTGATAAAGTCTGATTGTGATGATTCAGAATATGATCTTTCTGAACACATTATAAAGTAGTCCTAATGTTCTGAAAGGCAATAATGATTCCTGTTTGTTTCATTATCAATATAATATGTATTTGGAAAACAAGTTTGAGTACAAGACAAAACCAGTATTATACAGACGTATATGTTATTATGAATAGAAACCAAATAATTTCATATTTTATGTCATACAATCTATAAATATTTTCTAAATAAAGCACAACAACATCTGTTGTTTTAAAACACCACAGATGTACCAGTATACGAAAGATCATCATGATCAGCTGTTCCCTCACATTATAAAAAACTGTAAGCCGTGAGAACAGTGATACATTTAAGAGACAGGAATTTGGCTTTCCCTATATTAAACACAGCCAAGCTTCACCATTCCCCCTGTACATGTACACACAGGAATGTCCTACATGTAAACATGTAGCTATACAAAATTACCAGTAGCTTACAAATACCAACAGAAAACATGCACACTGCCCGTTGTTCAAACTATACAACAAACATGTATTACATATAGACTAAGTAATTTTGGGCCACCATTATCATCATCAAATCAACAATTTAATATAAATTATTATTTTTTTTAAGTTATCAGAGTTGAAACTAACACCCCTTTCATCTGTTAATGACCTACAAAGAACCATATAAAGGTATATGTTAATGTAATGTAAAATATGTAAATTACAAAATGTGTGCTGTTCACGCTACACATTTGGGACATTTACGGGATGGAAGTGTGTTTTGCTTGTAACATAACGTCAAATTTCAGAGCAGCCCATCACTTTAAATTAAGTTTTAATTACATGTATTGATCACAACTGCCCCAGTAGAGCAGATGTTGTTCTGACACTAGCGCCTTAAAACTCCTGTAAAGTTTTACTTAACAACTGTTCCCATTCAAGTCAAAAAGAAGTGTTAAAAAATTGAAAACTGGTATAGGACCCTCATGTTTATATTAATTTTGGACTGCTAAAAATACATACATTTAGCAAAAACAAGAAGCGTCAGGCGATGACAACTTGACATTTTCCTTTTAAATAGTCTTCATCTTAAAGCTATAAACTTTGTAGAAAATTGGAATATAACACCTTTTACATTGTGTACAATCTTTTCCCCACCGAGTGTATCTAAGTGATACATTAGATGTGATATGAACTGTGTCATACAACAACATGGACTGAAAGGAAGTGAAGTCTTCTCAATATACATGTACAAGTATGCTGGTATATACATGTATCTATATCCATGAAAAAAAATTGCTTGAAATATTTTTGGGAGTTGTTTTGTAGCAACAACCTGCCACCACTTTATCTATATTTCAATGTGCAAGATTGGAGGGGCGAGCATGCAGACATTATTGATGAAGAATTCTAAAGGAGTGGTTTAAACAACTAAATAAGTATGTGCATAAGTAGAAATAAAATACATTATGAATCACATCATTAGTCACCTTGTATATAATGCTTGATAAAGAATCCAAATAAGACCTTTGAATGATGGAGAGAATAAAAACTAGATACATTCTGAATAGATTTGCTTTCTTTCTTGCTATCTATTGTTCCTAAGCAGGTACTGGAAATGGGGTGAACTCGAGAGATGTTGGAACCTGTTGTTTAACCGTATACAAGTACTGACCAGTGCTTGGTCAGTAAACACAGTCTAGGTAAACATCTGCTTCCATTCAACAAGGCTGGACTTCCTCCCAATCAAAACACTTCCATCATGTTCTAGATGAAAGATGTAGATCTAATTCTGATAAGGTGATAGCTGTTCAGTTCAGCACCAAGTGATTTTCCCTCATTATCAGACTGATCTGCGATTCATTTTTTTCATCACCATAATGCCAGAGCCCCTGATTCTAATATAGTGCCAAGAATGGGGAAGATATACTCATGTACATATCTACATGGTATATATGAAGAAACGGAAAACATTAGACCTGTATCTAATTGTAATTAAAAGAAGTTGACCTGTCTGACTATTCTGACAAGTCTAACACATATCTAATAATTGTCATGCAGAATTAAATATGAAATGGAGTCTATTAAGTGTTCAACAGTTCTAATTAGAAAAGTAATTATTTTTTTCATGTCTTAACGAGGGATCCGACTTTGAATCCCTGGTCAAGCTCTTACAAATTTCCTTACTAGTGCTCTTCTGATCGAGTGAACAATAAGGGGTGAGCTAGGATCGAACCATGGGCCCCTACATTACTTGGCTATATGTACTCCAGCAAAGTTTGTAAGTAAGCACCCATATAATTACATGTCCTTTACAACTTTATATCCTTTTCAACACACATATATTTAACAAATTCTGCAACCATAGCAAGAAAATGTGGCACAACTTTAATTTAACCCGCATGCCTCCAGCTGTTATATTTTAAGAGGTCCACAACAGCAGGACACCAAGAGAGCTCGAGATTTGCCCTTATTTACACAAACTACCTCCATATGCGTAATTCCTGCACAGACTATAACAGTCCAAATGACAATTAATTTAGCAGGACAATATATACATGGATCTAGTTATTACAATTTCTGATAGAATTCTCATTAATTTGGTCATGTAATAAAACCTCAAATGAACATTCCGATTAAAATCTTCATTTCAAAAATAGGATCATTCATTTCTCAAAGTGGTCATCATATATAGCATCATAAATTAACTTTTCACACTTACACAACATATTAAAGATATAGATCTTGGAATGAATTGAAATTCCCACTGGTCTACGTAACACTTTATAACCCTAATCTACAGGCTGTATTACCATGTATACAATTGCTATCAGGGCTCCTGATATTTCATTCAGAAAAACAGAACACAGTTGAACTATCAAAGTGATTTAAATGTCTGTGATCTAGATATGACTGCTACCATTAATTTTACCAGACTTTTCACCACACCTCCTCTGCTACCCTTTCTCCTGTGTGATTGATGAGCCCAGCAGAGCTCCCTGTGTGGGACTCTATATCTGTGTTATGGGTTCCGGATACCTGTACCAGTAGGTATAACAATCATATAGAAACACCTGGCCAGACTTGTTCACCTGTCCGTCCCTCAGATCACCACTAATGGTGCTTGTCTCACACAGACCCTGCTGGATGCTAGTTCACTTCTGCAGCATGCAAGGAAGCAGACTACATTCTTTTAGACCAATCTGCCCAAAACACATGCACACAAAAAATTCAGAAGCATTTTAAATTCCATTCATGCCTACCGCACACACTACTTTTGTGTGAACTACCGATATCTACATCTTAAAAATTCCAAGCTTTTCTTATTTTTTTCCCCAATCAAATTCACTTTTAAGACTTTCATAAACATATCAGAAACATGAGGTATTAAAAAATCAAAATAAAGAAATAAAAAATGTTATATTTCAAATTAAGGAAATTTTGTTGATCAACAGTTAATATATTCTTAATTATGATGGGGTCATTCAAGATGATATCTGTTACCAATAATTACTTTCTTCATTCTTATGTTTTGTACTTTGTTATTCCAGGTAAAAGACCAATACAACTTAACCCAATATGAACATATAATTCATGACCTAATATTCATATGTCAAAGTTGATATAGAATAAACCATAGCCTTTTAGGTCTGCTTGGATGGCTCACCTTTGCTTTCCGCGTCAATTTATCAATTCTTTTTTACAAGAACAATTAAAACCAGTGTCTTCAGTTCTAATAGACCGTTTTATGATAAAGAGGTATTGCAAACAGTAGTCTAAAGCAGAGGTCTACTGCAATCTAAAGCTGATCTATTGCTTATACAGGTAAACATATCTAGGTAGCTGGTTATGTTAGAGAACACTCCTGATGTAAGTAAACTGCTGGTATTTGTTTACAAAGTTTTTGGTCACTCCTCAGTGAACATGTTTCTTTATCATCATGCATCCGGTTGTTAAAATTCAAGTCTGAATGTTGTACATGTACAGTAATCAGAAGCAAGCCAAAAATAGAAGCTTAAACTGGGAATAGTCACCTTCAACTTCTTCAATTTCAAGAATTGGAAAGTCCATGATCTGTTGTATTGGCAACCTGAATCAGGCCCTATACAAGGCTAGATATCCAAACTTTTGTTAAATGATCTCCATCAGAAAAACGTTTAATCCAAACCTGAACACAATAACTAAAGGATGAATTCCCACAGTTTTTGGTCCCGATTATGATTCAGGACTACTGATAACACTACTGGTTAATCCAAAGTCGAATGTCTGCAGCAGTCTCCAGGATCTGCCACTGTACTGGTTGGTGGTAAGGTACTATACATGTAAGTACTTCCACCAGTGGGTGTAAATCACACATGTAAATAGACTAATTATAGATAGAGGTACCTATCAGACTACCATCCTCACTGATACAAGGCTTTGTTGGTACAATGGTACTGATGATGGATACTGTGTACATAGTGTTACAAAAAGCCAACTGTGTTGTCTACAATCCCAGATAATACATATACCTTATCACATGTCCTGATTTTGACAGCCAGTCTGCCCAAGTTGATGAAGCTGAGGCAAGTCAGCATGGATACAGTTACACAGAAACACTATCATTGTGTGCCTTATCACTAGGATACCTTCTCATATGTCTAGCCTGCCTAATTATCCAGCCTGGGCCTTGGACAGTAGATCACAAACTCCAGTCAAAAACCTCATATAATTCCAATCTCTTCTTTCTCTACTGTGTACACAAAACAAAACTTGTTTGGTATTTTGTCCCCATCCCAAATATACTGTTACAGATCTCGTCTAACTTAACTCTCGCTCTTTCCTGGGAAAAAGTTGCCTTCTGACCTGTGGTGGATGATCCCCTACCCAGGAACACCTACAAAACTATGTTATATAACTAAACATGACAGCTGATCCCCTTGTTACAGCCAATACACTATCTCCCTCAGTAAAATGAAGTTAAGCAATTGTGACAGTGTATTGTGCTCTCTCAGCATAATCACAGTCTCCATGTTTCCCTTGTTCACTGCATTGATACATATTCCAAGTCCTCCTTAATGCTACAGATGTAGCTTATTAGCACAGAATGTTAAACGATGTGAATAAAATAATGCCTTTGAAAATGAAAAAGATGAATCCATTTTTGTATCACTGTGTAAACACCAGATACAGATGGCTGCACCAGCAGAACACGTAGTTATGTCATATGTTTGAATAAAGCTCATATCATTAGCAATAATACTGACATCATTGACCAACGTACATTCCATACCAGAACTCTCCTAGATATACAATGTATATATCACAGTAAAGATACAACAAAATGGATTCCCAATGCTTTTACTATTTGACAATGAATTTTTCTTTGTCCTATATTCCTGTCACACAAACTCCAATCTTATTCTGTAGATCTATAACATATGTATACAATTTGTTTGCCTGTTTTTGCCTGTTCTGTCTGCCAGCTGTGTATGTGTCGTAGTACCCCTTCAGTCTGCATGCTATTGTCAACATGTACCAAAGGACCTGTTTTTATTCATGGTTCTATTTGAACCTGAAATTACAGACTATACTACATAATTATCTGACATTTGACTTTGAACTCCTTCTCCCTAACCTGTACCTGTAATTATCATTACAATACCTGAAGAGCAACATGAAGTTTGAGTACTAAATAAGAGCTGACTAAGCAGTTTAAAAAATCTCCTTAATGTTGGAAAATCATCCCATTATAACATATCTACAGCTATATATTTCTTACAGAAATGTTACAATAGATACCAATTTGGCAAAATCATCATTAATTTTCATGATCTAAATTTCAACAGTATTGTCACAATGAAATAGGATAATTTCTATTTAATTAATACTATAAGTTCATTATCACATAAACAAATGATTACTTCTTTGCATCAGAAAATTTATCCTCAAATTGTTTGCCTTCTTTATGATAAATTTTAGTTGACTTGTACAGCAGCACCTGTAAACAATGTACAAACTACAAATCAAATGATCTTACTGAAGACTTACATTAACTTCAATTAAATAGTATTAAAGTCAATTCAATTTCAAAGGTTTCTTGATATCTTATGGAAAAGTTAATCAACTAATTTTTATGGAAACTTCTAGGGATCTGCACTGTAAACAAAATGACAGCTTAATGGTGAGAAAATCTATTCCACAAAATACCATACGAATTAACTGACATTTAACACATAGCCCATGGTCTGTAATATAAGATATAAACCAGACTACCTCAGATAAACAAAACAGTTCAAGTACTTTTAAAAGTTTGCATGCAATCCATTTACACCAATAACAAAATTCCAGAGGATATGATTATGAGACATTGTTGTGGGAAAATTTCAAAATATCATTGCAAGAATTCCTAGCTCATTTCCAACTGGAATTTTCTGCTAATACATGCATTTCAATGAAAATGAACTAAAACGCTGAAATCAAAGCCATTAAAATGAATTTGATTCAAAATTTTGGGAAAAAGAACTCCAGATTTTGTCACACACAATAAATTTTGGCATTATATGTACTTTAACTTCAATACTTACAATTTTCCAAATAGAATTTCACAGATTCTAAAATCATTCTCTTTTTCAAACACTGCTAAGAGATGTGTCCACTGGTAAATTTTGACTATGTCAAAAGGCAAGTTTTACTTACCATAGATCTCATCTACTTCAATGATTGTTAGTTTCACTTTGACAGCATATCATCAGAACTTACACATGTAAACTGTCCAAAAATAAAGAGTTTGGTGGATGACTGAACCATCCTTAGCCAATCTCTTTTCACAAAGGGCAGTTGCCCAAATTCAAATAATACATGATGCACTTTAATAGTAATGATGGTTCCACACCAAATTAGATCAATTTTGGCAAATTTTGTATCAGTAAGTATTGAATAACAAAATCAAGATGATCTAATGCCAGGTTCCTAAAATAAAAAATCTGTAAGTGAAAAACATTAATTAAAAGAAACATTTTAAATAGTTGACTCACCCATGATGTTCAAATCAGTGCTCATAATATTCCTGAAGTATGCTTTTAATTTATACATTCCTCACATCAGTGAAATAAAACCTTGACCAAGCTTAGAGTATAAAAACTATTTCACAAATTTTATCACATTCTTTTTTTTAACACAATATTATCACTACAACGCAAGACATCAAAGTAAGCCTGTGACTTTCCATGTTGGCTGTCAGTATCAAAATGATGGGGAGCAACTGAACCACTCAGGGGAAACTTGATCAAGTGGGGAGGAACAGGGAACAGCAGTGTTGATTCATTAGGAAGTTGCTATGGCAGTACCAGTAGACACAGGCAACTCTTTGAAATATTCTACGTGCACACCTCTATGTGGGGGGAGGGGGGTTCCTCACTGACAGTTCCAAGTATATAGCCATCCTGTGTTTCAATCACCACTCATTAGCATATACATACCAAAACTGCTCATCCTTAACTGAACAGACCACTTCAAATTGTGAAGGCAAAACTTCATACATGGTTCCATTTTACAGTTGCAATAAAAATCTGTGCCATCTCATCGTGAAATCATTTTGAGTTAATTCTAAATTAGATTAATTTCATTTTATTCCAGCTGATGTAAATTAAATAATTTTCCAGGAATACTTTTCATTAAATTATCAATTAGACAATTACTGCAATAACTATGTATTAGAGACAGTTACAGTAATATACATGTACAGAAAGCTTGTATTAATCAGATTATAACCAAATTTGACTATAACAACACTTCCAGACTTTGTCTTACCCAACTTTGCTTAAAACAAGTCTCATGATAGGCTTATCATATCAAGCTCAACTAATCAGTTTTATATCATAATTGTAAACAACTGTAATCAAGTAACAAAATGACTCCTTAATCAACATTTAAGTCCAATGTATAGGTCCATTTCATGTTTGTGACATCATTAGGTGTGCCAACTTGTACAGATCTAGACAAAAAGAAAACTGTGCAAATTGTGTTTCAAAAAACGACATGTCAGATTTAAAACATCTATGAATGTATGCTATATGAGCCAAAAGTATGATATGAAATTAGAAGAAAAAAAAATACAAAACAAAGATATGCTTTTTTTAAAAAGTCCAACAATAGTGGAAAATCTAATTGAATTCAAAGTCAACTGAATCACTACAGCCCTGTATTCAAACTGTTTTAATATTGAATGAAATTATCCCAGTCTAATGTGATATTAAGATTCTGTGGGAGCACATTTCTGGCATTTACTGATTGCAGTACAGACAGAACTTCAATTTGTTTGGTGAACTCATCCGAATAAATCTAATTTAATTGGCACAACATGTTAGGCAATTTGAAAAATAAACAGATGATTGTAATAACATCAAGCAATGACTTGAGATACTAAAATATTTATATTTTCATTGAAGGAGTAGGTAATCTTGTATCATGCCATAACATAGCCTTCTTGCACCGGGCCACAACTATAAGAAACTATAATAGGAGTAACAAATTCAAATATAATTTATTGACTTATTATAATCATATATATAATTACATGGTCAAGTTTCCTCTTAGAATGTGTTGAGACATGAACATTTGAATATGAAAATCATTCTTAATTAATTCATTAAATAGCTGAACAAAATATGTATGTTTGTACTTGAACTACGAAACCAAATGATAGAAAGATTGTAGTCTGAACAAGAATTTTCATTTCAAATTTACTAACGCTGACGGCAATAAACTTGCTTAATGGATCACAACAAGGTTGCGATAAGCCTATTTTTAATAAATGCCACCAGGTGATGAAGGAAGGAAGTTGAAATCAGAAACATTAGTAATGAAATGCGAAAGTTGGAAAGGATGGATGATCATGATGATGCCACTGATGGACTCCATTATAATAACAACACACTGAATGTTATAATCTGGGATCTGATAACCAAACTACAGTATCCATATATGTATAAGTTTGGTGAAGGTGAGAAACAGAAAAAAATATTTATGATTTATTGTAATGTAAACCATTGAATGCTTGAATATTGTCAACTGACTGTCAATATACGCTTCACAGACAAAACATTGTCAACTTCTGAGGTAAAAATTCAGTACTAAAAATATCGCAATTATTGTAACTTAAATACACGTCCAGCTGTGTAATCCGAATCAATATGACCTAATAATGTGTCTTATGCATCTGTCAGACCGTCATATATGCCAAGCCTCTAGGGTTAAATGACGCCGGTTCGAAAGTAGGTCGACTTAATGAAGTGTTGTTTCTGTATCTTCACTACAACCACAGATTATTATAGTCGATCCAAAAAAAGCATACAATCCCCAACGAAAGCACTTAATAATTTTTTCAGTCAATTCTGTTATTTTCAAACCGTTTTGACATTTTGTCACGCGAGTTACGCCTAACTGCCTAATGGCAAGTTACACACACGATAAGTCAATGACATCGTGAAGCATGTCAGTGGACAATACGGGTATTTCGGTATATTGAGACATATTTTCGATATGAGCATTATGTACCTGTCCAAATTACTACAAAAAGGTAATGACATCTTTCATACTTACATTTAAAAACACTCTGGCGAGTATTAGAACATCCCACTATTCATGTTTGTATTCACGTTGATGCTAATATCCACTTCCTTCCAATTATTTCACGCATGCCCATTGCTCCAAAATAAGAGGGAGGGTGACGTCATACTTGATAGATCTCACTTGCGGAGGGTGCGTTCGATCATAAACACTGACTCTTCGTGTCTGCAAATCATGGATTTCCGCTGTTATAGGTACACGAGTAAATAGGCCCTGCCTCTTTCATCGTGTTACGTCTTTGTATGTAAAAGTAAATATTTTTATACGAAATGTCCTTTTCATCTGAAGAATTATGATTAAGTTGACATGAGAAGTGACTATAATAATTGAAGTCCGTATCATTTGTGTACATATTACATGCATATGCAATACAAGTTTAATTTTGACTTAACCTAATTCATTAACCAAATATGAATCACTTTATGCATTTTAATTATATTTATTATGTTTTATAAGGAAATTGATTTGATAAAAAACAATTCCTTATTGTATGTAGCCACGACTCTGGTAGTTAAAGCAGAGACGTTTATATCACACACACATATATATGTCTCTGTTTAAAGAAATGACATGGTGCATGTAGATAATGTTTTTCTTCTTCAAAAAGGGATATCTGTCATTAGAATAACAGTAATTTGATTGAGTTTTAGCTCATAAAAATTAAAGGGATGGTTTATATATAGGTGAATGTAATCATATCCTGGCCTTGTAGGTAAAGATGTAAATTAAAAAAATACATTTACAATTTCCACAAATTATGAATAATCGTACACACACACACACAAAATGGTATACATTACACGTGATGTTGTGTGTGTAATTATTTTGTTTTAGGATAACCCGTATTACAGTATCAAATGAAACATAAACAAGTTCAATTTCCACAAATTATGAATGTCATTTGGTCACATTTCAAATGAAACATAAACAAGTTCATTTTGTCATTTTACTGCATTTCAATAGTAATAATAATGTAAATAAAGATAGAAACTGGAAAAGTAATGAGTAAATCTGTAGTTCTTTGTGTTTCAATCATCAGCAAATTAAAAACCAACCGTTGCTACACCTTGTTAATTACTTTTTATATTACGTAGTTTCAGGCATAGACTGGAAATATCGGGTAAAATCTAATTTGCATATTTAAATATGTTGTCAAATTTGGACAAAGTGACGTTTAAAACTCCCCTTGTGAGACAAAGACATGCCCGCCTTCTCCCTTAGGTGTGTATCTCAGATTCATTTCACAAAATCGTGTTTGTGAGTGTAGAGTTAATAGCATACATAGTACTGTTTCACCTAAAATTCAATGCAACGAATAAAACCAACCTATCAAGAGATGTTCATATCTATAACAAGCTTACAGTTAGTGTTGCATGCAACACATGTCCCCTGTCATAAATTACTGTATTTATCAGCAAATAAGCCCATGTCTGCTAATAAGCCCACCAATGTTCTGTTGTAAAGCAAACTGTTTGTATCAAAGCTAACCCAAATCCATCAATCCGTTCTCAAATTTGGCCCCATGATCTAATTGCAGTATAAATACATTATTTTTTAACAGTAATGTAGAACTTGTTCTGTATCAAAATGTCTTGTTATATTATTTATAAGCTTCCAGTGTATCAAGTTTCATCCAAATCCATCAATCCATTCTCAAATTATTGTCTGAAAACTAAATTGTGACGATTTCTATTTTTAGTAACAGTGACCTTTGTAGTTGATCTTTTGACCCCAAACAAAATCCCACACTATATTGCCTTATAAACTACCATTGTATGAAGTTTGATCCAAATCAATTAATCTGTTCTCAAGCTATCGTCTGGAAACCAACATCCGGACGGACAGACGGAGAGAAACCCTATAGTCCCCTCCTGTTTCACTGGCAGGGGACTAATAACCAACTACGTAGCAAAAACCTGAAATATGACGAGATTTTGAAGCAAATGGGTTCTGGTGAAGCAGATCTGTTTTACATACGTTCTATATACATTACTTATCTCATGATATATATTCATATAAGTTAAAAATAATTAAACACAATTACGTAAACGGATGTAAAAACCAATTCACAATCCACAAAAAGTAATATCCGACATTTCTGTCTGATTTTGTTGATATTCAGCATTTTATCAAATACACTTGTTTCCACAACTGCTTACGTCACGCCTCTTCTGGCTTTCGGTCTCTCCAACTATTCGTTCTGTTGCTGGGCGTCGGCATGTGTGGCACAAAGTATGGGTACTACTAAATTTGACTTCCAAAAAAGATGCAGAACATTTTAAAGTAAAAGAACACGCAGTATAGAATTTTTTTTGTAATTTTATTTTTTGCAAAGTTTTTACAAAGGCTGTAGACAAACACACTAAATATAACATACACTCATACACATTCATATACACACTCAGAGCCATCAATACTTGATATAGAAATAAGACACATACTTGCACACACATACATCATCATGACATAAATTCATGAATTATTTATCAGGCACATGTATGTATACATGCACATACACTCTCACACACCCTCATACACAGATACATCAATACATCATTATAACAAATTCATATATCATTCTAATTTATCAGACACACACATGCACACACAAATACACACACTCAAAAACATTGATACATCCTCATGACATAGATTCAGTAACTATTCATAATGCCTATAAATACACACACACACACACACACACACACACACATACACACACCCACACCCTCACAACCATACACTTCAATACATCATCACAACATAAATTCCTATATTATTCATCCGTGTGCTGTACACACAGAAGCATCCGTACATCATGACATAAATATACAAATTATTTATCAGACACTTTACATGCACACACCGATACATCAGGACAACATCATGACGTAAATTCATATTATTTCATCAATAGATGCTATTATCATCAATATAATATCATTATCATCATTCAAACATACACACACACCCATTCATAAGCATTCAACCATTCAATATGTAGCAGACAAAGTTGCAAAAGGACAAAAAAAAAAAAAAAAACCACTGAGAGAGAGAGAGAGAGAGAGAGAGAGAGAGAGATCAAATCAAATATATTGATAAGAAATAAGAATTTTCTGGTATTCATATTACAAGACTATGCATATTAAATATATAAAAAAATTCGACTAGGAAATATTGAACAGTTAAGAGAAGTAGCAAAGGTTAACAGAGAGATAGAGAGAATGGAAGGCAAATGGTATAATTAGAAAGTATGTAAAGTTTATGCATGGCGACCTTGTCGGGGACTGGAAACTAGTTTAATAAATTTAGCAATTATACAAATCGTATACATTAATCTTATATCTGTATTAGGCTTTCCCACTTCTTCCATTCCAACACAAAATTTTCATTAGCTATCTCCCCTTTATTACCAACAATATATTTGTGGACTTTATAATGATCATGAATGGCACAAAGTGATGAGTTAATATTCAGTGTCTTGTGTAGACACCTAGTTCTGTAAATGTTTCATGAGCAAAATAACCTGACTATCAACTTTATATATTACATTATTGTTATTAAAGATTTTGCCAAAAAAGCAATGTTTGTTTATTTAATGTAAAGGGTATAAATAAAGCATCCAGTAACCTTTCTAGACTTTGAATTAAATTTTGAACTTGATCACATTCCCAGAACATATGTACAGTAGTTTCCCTTTCAGCATTACAGAGGTTATAGTGAGAACTATCTACTAGTTTTGCTTTAAAAAGAGAAGAGTTTGTAGTTAATATATGGTGCACGACTCTAAATTGTAACCATTGAAGTTTAGAGTTTTTAGTGATTTGAAAAGGCAGTGCATATATTTTTGACCAGTGATCATCATTAAAATAAAAAAGATCTCCCCACTTTTCTTTGTGGATAGATTGTCTTAGCACCAATAGTTATATACTTGTTGTCCCAGACAGGTGTTCGCAAGAGTGACTTCCCTTTAATTGTTTTCATATTATCCGAGTTCTCTAGTCTAGACCAGGCCCCTAGTACATCTTTCCAGAAAACATTACTATAATTATCTTGGCATGATTTAATATAGTTACCTCCAATATTCAAAAATCTATTAAGTTTAATGAGTTTTCCATTTACCTGAAGACAGGTATAATCTTTTAATCCAGCTTCATTTCAATGAATCAACAATGTTGTAGATATTTATCATTTACAAACCACCACAAACATATTCTTGAACTATAATCTCTCTTTTGAATTTATCAACTTTACTGTGCCAGAAAAATTCATAGAGAATGGAATTTATTTTCTTAAATGTTTTTTCATCTGGATTTGGTAAAGAAATAAAAAGATGATTAAATTGTGAAATCATTCGTGACTTAATTAAACGGACTTGTCCAATTGGAATTAAATTTCGCCTACTCCAAATGCTAATAAGACCTTTTAAGTTTTACTATTTTCTTATAAAAGTTCATCTTGACCATTTCATGAAGATTGACACTAAACTTGATACCTAATAAACAAAAGTTTTAACTTTCCTTAGGGACATGAAGTTCTATATAATTAGTATTACACAAATGTACCATTGGATTGTGCATCTTCCATTATTAATGCTGTACATCTTCTGTTTTTACAACCTAAGAGATCTTTAACATAGGTCAAGGTCAGTTATTTGAAAACGACTGTCCTTCATCCACTAACATTGAAAAACCAATTTCAACAGCCTTGACCTTTTTGTTATTGACAAGAAGTCATTAAAGATTTTAACAAATTTGACCCTTGTGACCTTTACAAAGTGAAAATATAAATAACATGAACATAATTGGCAAGTCATTCCAGCATACTATGGGCCGGTTATCAGAACTTTTTGGATATTGAGAAGAAATCATTAAAAATTATTAAACATTTATCCCTGTGACCTTGAAAATGGGTCAAGGTCATTCATTTTATCAAACATTCTTGACAGAAATTTTACATACTGAGCATATTGAAATACTGCAAACTTAGAAATTCATCCATCCTTGGTCATGTCAATGGAAATATCGTACTTATCATCTACAAATAGTATTGGCACATTTTTCTTGCTTTTGATTAAAAACAAATCACTGTTTCAAAGCTTGCAAGTGATTTTTCAACAGAGACTAAATTCATGCAAGATACCATCTGCAATCGCTCTTTTCCAGCTGTTTAAAAAAAACATTTATATTCTTGGTATCAACAACTTGAAAAATAAAAGTAACTCTATTGAATGTTATTTTTTTGTGTATAAAAGTTCTCCACAAAATGGTGCTGTACATTATATATATATACAAAACACTAATCCAGAATTTCTATAAAAAAAAAACTGTACTACGATATATATACACACACCTTGATCCTAGTTTATTCAAGACTGTTGCATGAAGGAATGACAACGGATGCACAAGATGTTAAAAAAATATGATATAAAACAAGTGGTCAAAATTAAGTATTAACAACATAAAGAGGCATGCTTTTCAACATGCCATGTTTGACAATGTTAATGAAAAAGTTGGTAATAAATGATTTCACATTAGAACTTAGATCAATCCATTGTCTACAAACTGCTCCCCAATGATGAAAAGAACATCCATTTATTGTAGGTTTCTGACCCACAATCAAGCTTTTCTACAAATTTGAACAGCAGAAATAGCATGAAACAGTTTTAGGTTTCTGATCCACATTCAGTTCGCACAATTCTGAAGAGTTAATTTTTTCAGTACATCTTCAATTTCTTTCTTTTCCAAATTTTCCAATCATTAACCCTGCTTAGGTCAATTGCTTTCCCACATTGATGTCGTGTTGGCCGTACTTTTCTGTTTTTTGAAGAGCAGCAGACTTTCGTTTTTTAACGGGCTTCGATATGTATCATCAAATTTTTCGGCGATATCTAACACAGACAAATCACATGGCTCAATGGCAGCTACAATGTCAGGTGATGTCATATCATGTAAATCCTCATATTCATCCAGTTCAGCGAATAATGACTCCTGGATAAGGTCTGTAATAAAGATATCTTCATATAATAATGGCCACTTCAGTCATTTTATTTCTACTTGTTTTAAACCAATAATGTTCAGATAGTCATTTACAGTCCTTTAGCAATGTGAAAATATAAAAAAAAAAAAAGATACTGGGGCTAGGTCATGAAGGTAAGAGGCTATTACTAAGCCTGGTGATAACAAAATAGTGTTTTAAGGTTATTCAGAAAAGATGATGGAGGTCCAAGAAAGCATCTGTTTTCATTAGAACTCATGTAATATTCATTACTAAAATATTTCAGTTGACACTTTTAGTATAGTAGTAATGATTCTCTGGTGTGTCAGAGCAGCAAACAATACTAGGACTCAAGATTGATGTACAGATAAAAAAGTTTTTGAAATATTCTTTGAATTAGTAAAATTTTTTATTGATAAGTTGAATTGAAGCACCATAAATCATAAAAAAATCAAAGGAAACAAACCTTCTATTTGGATGTCTTGTAGGGATTTGTCCGAAACTCTCCCACACGGTCTTGTAGTAGTAGTATCTTGGCCATTTGTGTTTTTTCTAAGACATCATCTGTGCACCTTAAGCATAACAATGTTACACATATTTATAAAAATCACATTAAATATAATCCCCATGATTGGTAGCACAGCACTTTATATTGTCAAAAGTAGAAGAATTATGGGAATTTTTTTCAAAGAAAATAAAAGTTTATATATAATTTATCTAGCAATATTTAACATAAATTTCAATTTTTATGAAAAATATCTATGGCTGAATAAATTAATGCATTTCTTCTCATGTGATACCTGATATTTTTGTAACTAGCCAACTTTTTTGCAATTTTAAACGACATTTGTATCGGTGGAGTTTCACTTTTTTTTTTATTTGTTGAAGTGACAAATATTGCCACCAACTTTTCTTGGCCAGAAGTATTGCATTTTATAAAAAAAAAAAAATTAAAATCACCTCATTTTTATTACAAAAAAAAAGTGAAAAAAATTTTTTTTTTAAATTAAAAAATAAGTTGAAGCCTGTTTTTGTAGGGAAATAATGCAAATTCTATGTATTTAACAAGAACTAATATCACTATCTATGAAAAAATCTACAAACAATGGTATAAATCAGCTCCGTGAAGAAGTAGAACAACTGTGTCACTTAATTTGACCAGATCACTTCACACTAAAACATTTCCTATGACTGAACCAAAATTTCCCAATGGAAACCTGGAGTGCGACATTTCCACTACTCTGCATAATGGCGAGATTTAAAAAACAAAATTAACAATGTTTAAATGGATCACAGTCTTGTTATACTGGATGTGTGAGCATCTTATTCTGTATTTCAAGTTACCTGTAATGCATCTAATGACTGTCAAGTGAGTGGTCCATATGATTGACAACCCATTTCATTTGGTTTTGGATCAAAGACCTGAAACAAAAACAGAGCATTTGAATAAGTAAGGTGACACATTCTGACTTCTATTTATATGGGCAATTGTCAGGATACTCCTTACTACTGTAGTTACGATTATTTACTATTGAGGTTACTCAACTGTGACGGTGCATTCATACACCTGTAATGCATGTGCTGTCCGCAAGGCAAGTCAGAAAACTGGTTAGACCAGTGTAGTGCCAGGTATGTACTGGGTGTTTCTCAGGTAAGTTGAGGAACTTTTGCTGAGCATGCACGTGCCAGGTATTTTGTCAGGTACCCTAGGTGGGGTTGGACAGTATCAGACAGAACTTCGACGGTGGAGGTTGTGTTAGGCTGGGCTCAATGTATTGACGGAGTACTATTGGGAGGGTTGTGTGCCTACTTCCAGATGATGTTGGCTTTTGGGGAGCCTAGGACTGGTGTCTGTCCAGTATGACAATTTTATTAGCTGGGTGCTAATGGTTGTGTGCCTGTAAATAGTTTTTCTAAGCTGTGTGCTTCGAAGCTGCGTTTGTCCATGACTGTGTGTCCATGGGACTGTAAGCTGTACTTGGGACTGTGTGCCCTCTACTTTGTCCAGGACTGTGTGTCCAAGTGGCTGTGTGCCATGTCTTTGTAAAACAGGACTCTCCTTGGGGCTGTGTGCCATATTTCTGTAGGAGTGTTCCGGATGAAGCTACCTAGGAGTTGATGTGAGTATTATCAAACTGAGTTTGTTAGTAGATATAAACCGAGTTTGTTAGTAGATATATAATGTTTAGGATGTATACTAAGTAGATAAAATATATATTGTGTGTTTATTATCCAGTGTGGGTTAATATAAGGGTGTGTGTAGAATGTCTCTTGGAAGGGAAGATTATGTAGTGGTTATATTCTGTATATAAGTAACGGATAAGGTTATGATCCTATGAACAGGAGCTTGGTATGTTAAATAATGTTAGATTGATTTAATAGAAGTAAATATATGTACAGAATAGGTATTGTATGTCGCTGGTTGTGCCTTGTAGGTAACCTCGTAATGTGGTACTGAAAATATTTAGGCCTCCTTGGAGAACGTGTGACCTTGTGTTGACCTTGCCCGAGTTGAGGAGACCATTTATACTGTGACCTCTATAAACGAAAGAGGATGGAGTTCCAAGTGTAAACCGGACTATGAACCGTGTTCACAGAGAAAAAACTTTCACATATCGCATCATCAATTTTTAGGTTCCGTGTATAGGTATAGTTTAGCATATCTGAGAATAGGGGCTTAAGTGTCTTTGGGAGCCAAGATATGAGAGGTAGTGAAGTGTGCAATGTGGATATTAGTGTTTTCTGTAAATGTGTTTTTTGAAATTCAGTCCTGAAAATACAGTACCTGGTAATCTAGTTTTTCGATTTGTCTGCGTTTCTTGACCTTTGACCTTAAAATTTTTCTGCCCCCAACTTTAACCTCTGACCTTGAAATTGTAATTGGCTATTCTTCAAGTTCTTACATCATTCTTGTATACATGTATACAAAACATGGTGTTTTTCTGCCTTGATTTAACAGCATCCTATCCCTTAATAGAATAAAGTAGTGTTTTATGAAAAATTGGGAAAATATTCTTGGATTTTGCATCATTTTGTGACAAACTCACATTTTGGCTAGGGGAAACAACTTTTTTTCAGCTGCAAAACAAGGCAAAAAAAAATCTGCTGATAATAGAGGCAAATTTTCAAAATCCAATATCAATGTTAATGATCCATCTATGCAAAGTTTAATAGTTTACAAATGGTTTATGAGAGATGTTACAGGTTGATAAATAAAGTGGCCTTGATGGTCACTTAAAATAAGCAATAAAGGTTAAAGGATAGTTATCAAGTGTCATAAAAAGGAAATTGTGACATTGAAAATAGACTTTCAATACACGCATTCCATCAAAACTGTCATCATACATTGATTATTCTTATATAGTTATTTCCAGGTTATTTTCGCGGTGTGGCCATGGGTGATATTTTTGTTCATTAGATCATCCCATCACTTAGGTTTTAATTCAAATTTGAAAAATAAATCCTTGTTAAAAATTGGTCTTGTCATATTGGAGTGGACAATGTGGGGTTTCATTTTTTTCAGAGACGGGTTTTTAGAAACAAATTTCTTCTATAAAGTTGTAGTGTTAGGTTGGAATTAGTAGTATTTTTGCATTTTTAGCATTTTTTCAGTAGGTAACCATGACAATCACATGCACAGACAACCCCTACCCCTGCAACAGACACCACACAGAAATCTAGCACAGCTGCAGCATTTAAACAAATGATAGACATACTGTAAAATCAGAAAATATCATTAGGGATTTAATTTTCTTTGATATGTGAAGTGAAATCATCAAGGAAATTTTTAAACATGTGGATTATACCTTTTCAGGCAAACACCAGGATCCCTGCATCTCTTCTAACCCATTCATTTGGGAGGTAGTCAGTCGGTTTCCTTGCATCTGCTGGAATTATAACAGGTACTCCTCTTCTGGTCTGAAAAGAGGGAACTTTTTTTTATTCAGTAACCACTGAATGAGGCTTTCACCAACAAACATTTTCCTAATATTGTATTAAGTAAAATAAATAGTAAATATTTAATCAGACATCACATTCAAACATACTACATTTTGCAGTCATTAACTTGTGTTGTATACAAGGTATGTAAAGATTTGGGAAAAAAGTATGTGTTCCATGAACCCTCGAGGTCACTGGCATTGAACATGTTTAAATTCTGATGTATTTATAATATTTATTTTAGCATCGTGACGGCATTCCTCACGCAACAACTTGCATTGTCATACTATAAATTTGTTGGTTGCCAAAGACGCTGTCTGGACAATTATGTAATCAAACATCCACTGAAAACTATATGCACAGGCCTTCTTATTAGTGTGGTACTGTAGTTTCAGTTTGGTGTAATGCTTTGTGCCTAATGAAAGGTTTAACCAATGCACCATTCATTCCAACAATTCAGATATAACAAATTAAATACCTTTCCTCACACTGTGATAACCACCTGGTTCTCTAACAGTTTCCTTTCAAATGCTGTACAATCTCCAATCAAATGCTTGACATCTTCCCCCTCTTGTCACTCTTTGTAGTCTGTCAATCTGTAAATGGTTTAAAGGGATATTTTGCACATTTTCTGACTATTGAAACTATTGCATCTAAACACATTTACATACAACTGTTCTGACACTATCAAAGTTACATGAACATTCAGAAATCAACCTAGTTAGATTTATATGGGATTTCTTTCATTCTAATACTATATGTCATTTGTATATGGTAATTGAGCACAATTTTCATTAAAACATATATACATGCTAGAAGTTATTTTGAAAAGAAGCAATGTAATTTGTGCAAAATATCCCTCCAAATTAGTTTGCTCTGCAAACTGTTAATTTATTATTTTTTTTATTAGGTTTTTTCTTAAACTATGTACATATTTACAGATATAAAAGAAAATTGTTAGTAACAAATACACATCTACACACGTACTGCAAAAATCAAAACAATATTTAATAGCAAAAGAAAAATCTAAACTTTTGATACATACTGAAAAGAAGAATTTGCATGAAATAATTTTTTTTTTTGTAATTAATTTTTTGACAAGTTTTTACATATTACACAATACACAATATACAAGAGAATCCACACAAAAACATACACACACACTCTCACACTTGTGTGCTCTTACTTGAATATGTCTTACACATATACATGCATCACCATCATCATCATTATGCACATGTATCTACTACTTACTGCACACAAACTCACTCATCAACAACAATCACACCAACTTACACTCACATAGCAAACTTACATGTACTTAACAAAATACTCACACATACAAATACAATTTTTTTTTTTTTTTGGTAATTCTTTTATTTTTTGACAAGGTTTTTACATATTACACAATATACAAGAGAATCCACACAAAAACATACACACACACTCTCACACTTGTGTGCTCTTACTTGAATATGTCTTACACATATACATGCATCATCTTCATCATCATATCATCATCATCATCATGCACATGTATCTACTACTTACTGCACACAAACTCACTCATCAACATTCACAACCACTTAACAAAATACTCACACACATACAATATCATATCACTTACACTTATCAAAGATATTTCCTCATACACATATACTCACTCATTAATATATAATAATATATAATTATACATCACAAACAAAAAGAGAGAGAGAAAGAGAATCTGGAGGGTTATAGTCATTATTAAATAAAAATAGCACTAATTTTGTGAAAATTAAATAAATTTAAAGTCAGTTTGGTAAAGTCAAGGCCATGGCCATTGGGAACAGACTTGTTAGCAAACATACTATAGTTCTAAAGTGGGCATCCATTTTTTCCAATTCTCAAAATTTGTTTTCATAATAATGTTTTTGCTAGAAATGTTGTACTTTTGAACATGGAAATTATCTTTAATCTTATTTATAAGTGCATTTAAATTAAGAGATTTTTGTAGACATCCTGACATATAAACAGTGTTATTTTCTTATTCCTGATTAAAAGCATTAAAAAATTATTTGAATATACAAAAATATGCTAAAATTTGTTCCTTTTTATTAAAAGTAAGATAAATTTACAGAAAAACAAACAATACTACAGCTATTCATGTCTGGATGGTTGATCAAGCCAAGACAGACACAAAACAACACTTATATTTATAGGTGATCAGTCTATAAACATAAATGCCAACTATAAAAAAAAAAGTAATGTATTTAAAAAAAATTACTAGCCTAACTTTTAACTGAAGAGACTTACTAGAAGATTCCATTTAAGAAAGAAAAAATCTTGTTGACAACATTCAATACTAAATTACGGCCCAAAAACGAATTGAATTGCTATTCAAAATAACTTGCAATTTAGTGAGCACAAACTTGAATAACACACTCAGACTCTACTTTCATATCATATAACATATATATATACCATTGCATAGTCACATAGGAAAACTCTAAAAATGATAAAATTCAATAATAATTATATGCAATCTGCAGATGTGTTTTTAAGCGAGTGTCTCCTTCAATGATAAAAGGTAGTTACACGCTTCAAGATATCTCAAGTTAATAATGTTGGAATTCAGTCACATTATCACATATTCCATGAGATCATTATATTTCTCATATTATGCCTAGATACCATTATGTTCTGTTTATACTGAAAACAACACATACTCAATTATAAGAACTTAGCTCATTTTCCTCTCTTGCTTACTTATGATACAATATACTCATAGCTCGAAATAGTTCTACCAATACAGATATATAGTTCCTTTATTGTTCATGGTTCCACCAATATATAAAGTAAGTTGCACCTATACAATGGTACCACTATTACTCTATAGTTCCTGTATGGTTTCACCAATACACGTATAGTTCCTGTATGATTTCACCAATACATGTATACTTCCTGTATGATTTCACCAATACACGTATAGTTCCTGTATGGTTTTACCAATACACAGTTCCTCTATAGTTTAGCTAATACAGTTTCTGTATGGTTTCACAAATCTTTTATATAGTTTTGCATAGTGTTCCTTCTATAATGTCAGCAGTGTACTTTTAAGGTTCCTGTTGAAGTCGTCCTCTTCCCAGTTTCTTCTACTATTATTAAGTTAGATGCAGTTACATCGATATAGTCCTGTTTAAGTTGATGTGAAGTTATATCCTTAAGTCTGCATTCCACTAGAAAGTTGTTGCCATGAAATTTTACACTTTTCTTCAAATAGTACTATATTTGGGATTCCGGTCGGACTGAAGCTTATCATTGAGACATGGTTTTCTGGATCTGTTCAGCTTCTTTGTATATGTCATAAGATACAACCATAGTGCTACAATTGTTTCATAACAGACTCATGTGACCTTAGCTTATTTCCTAATTCCTAAATCCTAACATAACTATTACCTGTTGAGATTTTTTTTAAACATAATTTGATTATTCTTTAAAAACCAAATTTTTTTCCCTAATCTTCAAATGCTAAAAAATCCTTTTTAATGCCTATGACTAAAAACTTAAAAACAAACACCATACTGTGTTGTCTACTAGCAGTTTAAGAACACGAAATTTGTTACCTGTTCCGCTAGCTTTTTCGCAAACACTCTAATATGATGTTTCCTAACATAATTTCCTAAAACGCTAAAAATATCAAGATATCCTATGTATTATCGCCTATACTGTAATAACATTAATACAAATATACACATGGTGTATGGCCATTACACTCATATGTAGCACTAATCTACATGATATTACACTATAAGCAATTTAACAAAAAATTTTCAAGACTTTTAGAATTTAGCAACTTATTGTCTATAAAATTTTAATTCTAACAATTTCCCCTATAGTACATAAACTTGTTTTGCATCCTGCCACAATTCAGGTATATCAGTTACTGCTTTGTTAAATGTCAGCATTGAATCGAGGGCATTACCAACAGCAAAGTCTGCCATCAGAACATCTCTGGTCCATACAGGTCGTCCTGGAAACTGTAGTAGAAATGTACAGTTTCCAGATGTGCCGTCTCCATCTTTGACTGTCTCCAGTAGCTTGGCTTTAAGCCGCTGTTTATTTTGATAAGTCCTACGTCTCCTCTTTGAACATTTCCTCCTTCCTGCTAGTTCAGCATGTTGCCTAGTGATAAATTCCAGTAAAAATGTCGGTCCAACCCCACACAAAATCCCTCTTGTTCACTCATGTTTTAATGAAATCCATGGCGATTCTGTTTCCGAATACTGAACCTTGCAGTAATAATATGTTATATTGGTTTGAAAAAGCAATCTTGTTGTACAGTCCGCTTCCTTTAATGTTCCAGTATTAGGACATTTCTTGTCAGGATTCAGAAAGTATATGTCCTTTGGTGGACGACCTTGATGAATAGGCACAACTATGGCAGCATCCTTATCTTCCTTCTCTTGTTCATTAAAGAATTTGTTTTTGTAGAGGACATTTCCATTTCTTGCCAGCCATATTCTTGGTATCATGAAACTGGCGTCTGAGCTCCTCTGGAACCATGTTTTGGAAAAGCCATACGTTCGGTACATCTCTGTCCTTATACTGGACATAATATTAAAGAACGTCGTTACTACGCTTTGCTGACAAAATCTTGGAAATGATCCTCTTTTCCTTGCGATGTGCTATATCCTGACTTTTCTGAATATCTTCCTAACTTTGAGTCTCTGGTGTATCTTGACGATGAAGAGTATTGTTCATTTCTGCTTGAGGTGTACTGTCTGTTTGAGTCCTCTCTTGAAACTCTAATGGTTGTGTACCCTGTAGTATATTTTTATCCTCTTCATCTTGTAAGTTCCTATCATCCATTTCTTCAGCATCAAGTTCTGCTTCTTCTATATCATCTTCATGTAATTCAGGTGGATCGATGTGTCTCTTTTCAGGATCATAATCTGTTAGCATGGATTAGTGACTGTACATCTTTGTTGTCGCTACATCTTCTGAGCTTGAATGTATCCTTTGGTCCTTTACGGATAATATTGTAAGGTCCAAACCATTTCCTTTGTTACCTGGGAGCTGTACCAACAGGAACTTGAGCACAGTATAACCAAACTTTGTCTCCAACTACAAACTCAGCGGGTTTTTTTTTTACAGGTTTGTCATATTGCCTCTTGTACTTTTCCTGTGCTATTCTCATATTGTGCTTTGCTAATTTCCTTGTTAGGTCTAGATTCTCCAGGTGTTGTGAGAATTCGGAAATTTTGTGGTAGGGTTGGTCTTGGAATAAGACTTTAATCAATTGGCATTCTCACTTCTTGTCCATGTAGTATAAAGTACGGAGAATGTAACGTTGACTGAGTCACTGGTGTCATGTGATAGGACATCATCATTTCTGGTAACACATCAGGCTATGTGTTCTGCTTCTCACTGCAATGTATTCTCAATTGTTGTAGAATAAGAGTTCATTCTCTCACAGGCCGAGTTTGTCTGTGGGTGATTTGAGCTTGTAAAGACTGTCTTTGTTTGAAACATTTCCGATCCAAAACTAAAGTTCGTGGTGCACCATAACAAGTGAAGATTTCTCTAAACAAAACAAGGGCAATTTCATTT